AGAATTCCCCTGATGAATTTCACTGGGCCTATCCAAACTCTTTTTGGCTTGCCTCAACATTTCTTCAGCATCTATCCAGACTGGGAACTTCACTTTTTAAAAGGGATGAAAGCTGGGTCCGCTCTGGTCTTCAGTCCTACTCATATTGATCATGGCATGGAGAGCTTCTTTACCACTCTCTGGACAGTCAAGCAGTGGCAGCTGGTAACTTCCATGACAGTGGGCAATGGAGCCACTTCAGGTTTTCTTTAGAGGTTAAGGAGCTGTCCAATGTCCTGAACCCAATTCCCAAAATAGATTCTACACATTGGATTGTTCCTTTAACACTGGATTGTTCCTTGTGCTAACACTCAGATTTAACTGCTGATGTGAAAGCCACTGCTCCTGTCTAGAATGCATCCAATATTACTGACAGACAAAGGATTCCAACAGCACAGCTTGAACTGTGTATGTGTGTGTCAAAGTCTACTCCACATCATAAAATGAGGAATATGTCTGAAAAAAAGTCTGTTTTTGGTTCCTGGGAGGAATATCCATCTAGGCCTCAAAATTTCCATGCAACAAAATGCAGTAGCAAGTCCAATGATATTGATAGACAGCCAGTGTGGTTTAGTGGTTTGCATGTTGGAGTCAAGTTTGTATGTCCGCACACATATATATGTATGTTTTCTGCATAGCTGGAGACATTAGGGCTGAGATCTGGCATCAGAGACAAAGCGTAGCTGTACAATCATTTTGGCTAGTGCCACACCACAGAATTAATATAGTCTGACACTGGTTTAACTGCCATGGCTCATTTCTGTAGAATTCTGGGATTTGCAGTTTTGTAAAATATTTAACCTTCTCTATCATAAAGATCTGGTTCCACAACAAACTACAAATTCCAGGATTCTATAGGATGGAGCCATGATAGTTAAAGTAGTATCAAACTGCAGTGCAGCAGTAGCCTTACTGTGCAGGTAGGAGGTCTTTTTCCCCCAGTTTGAATCCATTGGTTTGTGTTCTAGTCTCTGGATCATCCCACCTACCCTGCCAACATGCACAATGCTCACTCACCCTTCAAATGCATTATTTGTTGAAGGTTAACAAGGTGTGAACATAAAGGCTAACAAGAAATGATGCATTTTATTTCAGCTAGAGGACACTCATCTATTCAAAGTGCAGCAATAAGTGACTGGCTACAGAAGCCAGTCAGTAAATCAAGGGTGAAAAATTCTTAATTAGAAATGTTTTCAGTGCCACTGAGCAAGGACAATATTTTTTCAGCATAACTTAATCACTTCTTCCTCTCTTCTTCCCAATTCTCAGTTAAGAGGTATGATTTGCAAAGTTCATTGATACAGGGCATGTTTTAATACAGGGATCCCAACTTTAATTTATATTATCTCTATCTTAAAACAAACAAACAAAATCAGGGATCTAACAATCACTATTCTACTTTTCTCGGCAGGATAGGGACATCATGGATTTGTCTACCTGAACGTTTTTTGTCCTAAACTGCAAACTTACCAAATCCCTCAAAGTCTGTAACACCACTAAAGAGGTCTGTGGATGAAAAATAGAATAGTATCTATACTAGAAATAATGCCGTTTGACATCATTTTAACAGCCAGGGCACCATCAGAATTGTGGGATTTGTAGTTTGGTGAAGCATTATTTGGCAGAGAAGGATAAAGACCTTTTAAAAGTACAAATCCTAGAATTCAATAGGATGGAGTGACAGCTCTTAAAGTGGTGTCAAACTGTGTTATATTTATAGTGTAGATGCACCCTAGGAAGGATAGAAGGGAATGAGGAGAGATGCAGAAGCCAGAAGAAAGTAAAAAGGGATTAGGAAAAAAATTCACTTAATTGTCTAAATGCCCAGCACAAATATACAAAAGGAATGAAAAAGAGATCAGAACATTGCACCTCAAATAATAATAACAATAATAATGGACAAACCCCAAAAATAAAATCAATAAAATTTAGAGGTTAATGAATGACTTACAGCCCCTCCTCTCCCCATTCAAAAAGACTTGATCAGTTTCCATACAGGTCAATTTTTTATAAATAAAAAAAAATACTCTCTTTAGGTATCCCTGGGAAGAAATTACCCCATTTCCACTGGTAGCTTTTAGGATTGTTTAGAGTCAGCTCTTGAAATGATTAATTAGAAGTCTGGAAATAGGTAAACGCTGCACTATTAGCCTGTCTCCCCCGTGGTAAGATACAAATGTAGCTCAATAAACCCTTCCAAGTCTACGATTTGAGTATTTCATACGTCAGGAAAAGAAATGGGTCTAATGAATTTTGCTTGCAAGCTACCCTGGAAGAGAAGACTGCAAATTCAAATCGGGGAACAAATGTATGAGACAAAAGTTTTTCAAGTCTTTGTAGCAAATGTAATTATTCATCGTCTCTTCCACTGTACATAGAGCTATTGTAGTAAGTTAAGAAAATGGATACATTGCTGCATTCAAATAGCTGCCTGGTAGGTGAAATTTCTATGTAATTATGATAAATATAGGTTATTAAATAGTTGTTCAACTTGAGTTTGCTTTTGTGTTCCTTGCTTCCTCATATATGTATCTGGTGATTTGCTGTGTTGTGTGGGGTGAAAGCAGAGTACACTGCTCCAGTACACAAAATAGGAAAATTATATAAGTTCTAAAACTTAAATCGGGCTGGAATTTACCCAAACATCAGACAGTACTACCCTGCCTACTCAGCAAAGATCACCTTTCACCAAATTTTCTCTCAGGATGTTTCCCAGATACATTCTTAGGATATTTTCACATTACAATCAGCCCTCCACATTTGCGGATTTTAATTTTGCAGATTTGATTATTCATGGATGCAATTAGTATGTTCTCTCTAGGAATTCTAGGTCTATGGAGTGTGGCTCCATAGTCAACGTCCACCAGAGGTTGCGCTGGAGGAGCTTGAGATTCCTAGAGAGAACACTTCTCTAGACATTTGCAGGTCCTCCAGTGAAATTCTATGGTTAACGTCTTGCAGATGTTGACCACAGAGTTGCATTGGAGGACCTAGAGAGATATTTCTAGAGGATTCCTAGAGAGATATTCTCTTAGGTTTAAAAATAGTATTATTATTTTTTTATTTGTGGTTTTTCTACTTTCATGGAGGTCCTGTGCCTCTAGCCCCAGTGAATATGGAGGGCCCACTGTATAAGAACATAAGACAAGTCCTACTGAATCAACTGTATAAGAACATAAGACAAGTCCTACTGAATCAGACCCATACTCTGTTCATCCCACACCCTGTTCCTACATCAGCTGTCCAGATGACTCTATGGCTGCTGCGACATTGCAGAAATAAAGCTGTTTGACACCACTTTCACTTCCATGGTTCAATTTTATGGAATTTTGGGATTTGTAATTTGTCATCATGGTGTAGCATGTTTAGCTCTACTGCCACTTCAAACATAACTTGTTAAAAGGAACACTCCACTATACAATTACAGCACTATGATTCCACTTTAACTGGCATGGCAACATCTGATGGAACCCTGGGATTTGCATAATAGAGAAGGCTATGCAAAATTCTTAACCAGAGAATTCTAGTGCTTACAAACCCCAGGGCCCCAAGAAAGCACAACTGCATGGCTAGAATCTGATTGGGTAAGCTTCATCTGCACTGCAGAAATAATACAGATTGACACCACTTTAATTGTCATGGCCCAATGCTACAAAATTCTGGGATTTGTCATTTTGGGACATATTTAATTGGATTCTGGTGTCACAATTCAAATCCCAGAATGCCATAGCATTGAGCCATGGAAGTGTCAAGCTGCATCATTTCTGCAGTGTAGATGCAGCCTTAGTCCCGGTTAGAACAAATTGTATGAATTAGAAATTAGAATTTCCTTCCAGTACCACCTGAACCAAGAACAGTCAGATCTTGACAAAATGCAGGTTTGGGACTAACATTGTCATAATTTGCTTTTTTCCTTCCATATGATTTTAAATATCTTCACCTGATGAAGAAGCCAGTGGAGTTTTGAAAGCTTGCATTATATATTTTGTGCATTTCTGTTGGTCCAAAAATGGTTTCACTGTTTTGTGGATTTTGGATGTTATTGTAGTTTGCTACATGGCCAACAACGGTTATGTTTTTGTTGAATGGTCAGTCAACACATAGGGAAATCCAGTTGGTTCAATGGTTCTATCCTAACAATATGAATTAAGCCCATGGGAAATGGTCACACTGGAATGCATTTGTTGCACAATGCCCCCCCCCCCAAAAAGTGCAACCACACGTGTGAGGGATGTGCATGACTCCAACAGGCGAATGCTTCAATCTCACATTGTACTCCATAAAGCAGAACTCCCAGGTTCTGGATTTATCCCCATCAGCCACACAAAGTGTACAGATTGACACCCAAAGCTGCACACTCTGTATCCTGTTGAGGCTAGTCTTCTTGCACAAGATGGTTGCCACTGTTCCCCTGTCTGTGACCTTCTCCTGCTATAATTATGAAAGTCACAACGGGTGTAATTACCATATAAAACTTTGGCATACTTTGGCCGAGTACATAATCATGGGGAGAAAGATTGACAGGGCCTGTATTGTCAGACATTTTTTATTCTCCTACTCCCCTTTGGGATCCCCCCCTCCCTGCCTTCTGTTTTGGGACAGTACGGCTCCAGGTAGAAAAGGCCATGGCAGGTTCTTTGAGCAGAATGATTGAAGAGCAAACAGCTCCTTCATTCAACCCCATCATTTACAGGTGAGTCGCCATTTTATTCACACCACACTGTCACATTCCCTGCAGCTATCATCACCCCAGTTGCGGGGAAAAAATACAGGTCCCTAAATCAACACAGAGTTTATCCATAGTTAAATTTACTGTCAGTTTGATATATGAAGTTACTGTGCAAACTTTCCATACTGCTCTTGCATGTCAGCATTCTCTCTTTAAAAGGCCCTCGGGTTTATTTGGCTTGTTTTCATTCCGGCTCCTTTTCCTTGACTAGGGTTTGCATGAGCTGTATCCTGGCATAGTGGTTGGATCGTTAGACTAGGACTCTAGAGACCAGGGTTCGAGTCCTGGCTCAGCCATGACTAGATGACCTTGGGTGAGTCACACTCTCTCAGCCTCTGAGGATGGCAATGGCAACCTGCTATAATTATGAAAGTCACAACTCTCTGACGAAACTTGCCAAGAAAGCCCCATGACAGGTTTACCTTAGGGTTGCTGTACGTCATAAATGACTTGAAGGTACACAACAATAAACAAATCCATCCAGTTGTAGGTCATGCTCCACCCTGCCTCACTGCCCTATGCTTTCCGAGGTTGTATCCACACTGCGGAATTAAAACAGTTTGGCACCACCTTAACTGCCATGACTCTATCAAACAGAATCTTAGGATTTGTAGTTTGGTGAGGTTATTGAGCCTGGTCTCTCTCAGACTACAAATCCCAGTATTCTGAAGAATAGAGTCATGGCAGTTAAAGTGGTATCAAACTGTTTTAATTCTGCAGTGTAGACACAGCCTTGGAAAGCATAAGGCAGTAAGATAGGATAAGGCACATCATCCAGCGGCTCCAGTTTGGCAAGGACAGTCCTGATTCTGTCATTCCACTTTTTCCCATTGTTTTTAACATGTCTCAGGAGTTTATCACACAGGGGAAATCCAGTGCGGAAATGAGGCTTTAAATTAAACGAAACCCGCAAAAGCGGGTGTTTTTTCAGATGATGTCACTGTTAAAAGGAGGTTAATCCGAATGAAAATTAGACAAAAACTGCTTCTTTTTACTTTCAGAAGATCCCAAAAGTAAAAAGAAGCAGTTTTTGTCTAATTTCCGTTTGGATTAACCTCCTTTTAACAGCACTGGAGTTTATCACACAGAAAAATCCCGTTGATAAATTGCTTCCACTTTTGCGGGGTTTTTTTCTCTTTAAAGTACCGTTTCTGCACAGGGCTCCCCGTGTGATAAACTCCACTGTGTTTCACTCTCCTCTTCCCACTTCCCCCTTCATCCTGTTTTTCTTCAATTGCTCCAATTTCAGCTCAAAATGCAAATGTAATTTTCACTCAGGAACTGATGCAGACAGCCCCTAAGGGGTGGCTCTGTGCCGTCCCTGGGAGCACAAGATCGGGGTTGTGCAAACCACATGCTGCAGCTCTGATCTGCCTTTTTGCCACTCTAAAAAGAGCAGCAGCTCTTTTGAGCTCCCTTGGCGAACATGTGGTCACGTGCACGGAATGACAACAGCATCAGGACGGAGTTGGGGCGGCCGGCATGTGGTCACCCCACCTCAACTCCATCCCCAGGCCAGCCCTTTTGGCCAGTCTGCATTGGCCCTCAGTACTTGCTGTTCGAAATAGGCTCGCGCAAAAGCAACCTCTCCTAGCTTGTGTGTTCCTCATTAATAACATTTCCCATCCTGAACCCATCAGAATATGGCCAAAATGGCAACAATTATTAAAGAAGAAGAGGAAACAAACTAGGAGAGGCTGCATCAGTTTGCTTTTCCCTGAGCCTACTGAGAAGGACAAAAGTCTGCCCTCTCATGCCCTCTCCCCACACTTAGCTAAATTAACTGGGTGCAAACTACATCTGTACTGCACTAAAACAAGCTGAAATAGTAGAATGACAAAGGATTAATTAGGACAGTTGGGGGGTATCAAACACATGTTTCATAGGTGTAGATTGTTTTAAAATGTGTGTGTTTTATTTGTCCTTTTAAACTGTTGCATGTTTTAATTAATGTGTTTTAATTGATGTTGTTGATTGTTGATTGTTGATTGTTGATTGTTGATTGTTCCCTGCGTCAATCCATGGGGAGAGGGGAGAGGTAAGAAATTTATTATTGTTTATTATTATTATTATTATTATTCTGTTGCTGTTGACCTATGGGGATTTTCTTGGCAATCCTGGGGATTTTTTGGCAAAATTTATTCAGAAGGAAGTTTGCCTTTGCCTTTCTCTTAGGCTGAGAGGCTGTGACTTGCCCAAGATCACCCAGTGGGTTTCCATGGCCAATCCAGAATTCAAATCCTAATTTATCAGAGTCTTAGGCCAACACTTAAACCACCACACTTTGCTAGCTCTCAGACAACACAGTTGCTGGAGTTAAATGCAATTATTGGAGCCCTTGAGACCTAGCCTTGCTCTGAAATAACGTGACCAGTTTATACGGTGCAGAAGGTTTCAGGGTTTTTTACCCCACATAGCTATTTATATATCTCATCAGCAATATGTGAGTTCCTGCATGCAGACTCCGTCCCTTGAACTTTTTATTTCAACTGAGTAATAGCTTTCTTTTTTTAATTTCCTGCTACTATCAGTCCCTTCATCGTGGTTTTTTGCTCTTGTGATAAGCTTTGGCTCATTTTTTTTATATATGAAACTGCATGAGAGGAAAATTGCCAATAAAGTCATACAAAATGAAAGAGTGCTAATCAAGAGGATATTTTCACAGAGCTAAACTGCACCAAGAAAAACAACATGGGCTTGAAAATTAAGTTGGTTCTCTGTTCAGTTCGAGACAGTGCGATGTAGTGGTTAAAGTACTGGGCTGGAACTTAGGGCTACATCACATGTGACTGGTAAATCGTGATTACAGCAGGATAATAATAGTTTTGTCTGGTATTTATCACCATAGTGTCATGTCTCTCCTGTTGCTGCTTTGCATTTCAATCGTTGGTGGTTTCTTTTATGGAAAAATTCATCAATGGCTCCAAAAATGCCACTTTTCCTTTACTGCCTATGGTGCAGTAGGTCCCTTCTGCTGCAGTTCCGATATTCTGGGAGTCATGTGATGTGAGTGTGATTCTCCTCTTCTCTCCCTCGCTATTCCCAACCAGGCTGAGGTTGCTTTTACTTTCTTTTACTTTCTTTTCTATTTCTTTTCTTTCAATTATCATTTTGCCATAATTGTGCAATCGTTGCAAAAAAAATCAAAGGTTCACATGCACTGGCTAGCTAGAGCATACACAAGGAGGAAGGTGGGATTACCAAGGCAGAGAGGAAGAGCAAACACGGAACCATGGCTCACCAAAGCAGCACAAAAATACAATTGCAAAGAAGTGTAATAATGATTGCTTTCAAATCAGTATGTTCCCAATGCTTCAACAATGGTATTCTGAGAGACAATAGGTTAATGTGATAAAGTTCTTTGGTGATGCAGTTTCTAGTACCCACTCAGCCATTAAAGTGACCATGAGACTTTGATTCAGCAAATCTCTGTTGGCTCACCCTTATTTATTCATACAGAGTCAGCCCTCCATATCCATATTCTTTATCCATAGATTCAACCATCCATGGTTCAAAAATATTCCAAATAAATTCCAAAAAAAAAAAAAAACCCTTGATTTTGCTATTTTGCAGTTGGCCCTCCATATTGGTGGGCTAGCCATTTGTAGATTGGAACTTTTGTGGATGATCCTGCCCCATTATCATCTATGTCAGCTTGTGCACACAGCTGCCATGCTCACAGCGCCATTCATTGATGGTAATGGAACTTAAGGTCACACATTTTTTGGTATGCACCTGGGGGGAGGGGAATAGATAACCTGATGCAGAGGGTTGACTAAATAAAGGACACTATTTCACTATGCCATTGTATTTGATAGGAATTGAGCATCCATGGTACCAAACCCAGTGGTTACCAAGGGCCCATTGTACTAGTTTACACATAGCCAGCACTACCTGGGACCATTCCAAATACCTAGAAAGGGGGCCAAAGGGAGTTGAACTTTTCTTAACTCCACTTTTTTCTTTTACCTCTAGAATCTTACTAGCTGTACCTCAGAGACCTTACTTCACTTTTTCTGCCCTGTTTTATACTTCAGGAATGTTAACACAAAATGCCTCAGTGAGCCCACTTCTCTTTTCTTTTGGAACTGAATCTGGTGTAAGGCCCTGACCCAGATTCCTACCCAGTATGCTTCTGAAGGTGGTGGGATTGAGATAAAACAAGAGTTGAGATTGTCATGGCTTTATTGGAGTTGAGATTGGCATGGCTTTATTTGGTGGTGGGACTGAGATTTCCTCAAAGGTCTTAGAACTCATGATTTTATGATCCCTTCAGATATTTAGAATAACAGAATCATAGAGTTGGAACAGACCACAAGGGTCATCTAGTCCAACCCTATTTTGCCATGCCACACTCCCAACAAGATGCCATCCAGCCTCTGTTTAAAAACCTCCAAAGAAGGAGACTCCACCAGTCTCCAAGGCAGCATCTTCCCGTTACAACTCTTATTATCAAGAAGTTATTCCTAATGTTTAGGTGGAGCCTCTTTTCCTGTAGCTTGAATCCATTGCTCCATTTTCTAGTTTCTGAAACAACAGAAAACAAGCTTGTTCATCCTCAATATGACATTGCTTCAAATATTTAAACATGCCTCTCATGTCATCTCTTTACCTTCAGTTCCCCATGCCAAACATACCCAACTCCCTAATCCATTCCTCATAGTCATTTCCATTTTGGTCACCCTCCTCTATTCATGATCCAGCTTGTCAATATATATATATATATATATATATATATATATATATATATATATATATATATATATATATATATATATATATATATATATATATTAACTGTGGTGCCCAGAACTGGATACAGTACCCCCAGATGAGATTTGATCAAAGCATAATAGAGTGGCACTATTACTTTCCTTGATCAGAACACTATACTCCTAATAATGCAGTTCAGAATTGCATTGGCTTTTTTGGCTACTGCATCACACTGTTAATTTATGTTTCGCTTGTGGTCTTGTTTTTAATTGAATTTTTATTGAACATATAATAAAATATACACAAACAAAACAAAGCACATAAAACATAAAACCCAATTACATACAACTTACAAAACCTGGCTACTCCTATTAAACTAAACACTAAACTACTCTAAAACAGTCACAAAAAATACTAAAAGTTGACTTTCCACTTTCTTACCTATCAATTTATGTTAATGGATTTACATAATACTTATTTAAGTATTTAAGTAAGTATTTAAGTATTTAAGCAAGCTTAAATATATAGTTAAATTCACTTCCTCAGAAACAAATAAACAAAATCCTATTATATACTTCTACTA